ACAGCCAGGATACAAAGTGAATAAATTGTAATAAATGATAAATGATAAATAAATGTTATAAAAACAAAACAGAATAATTAAACGAATATACATATATTCAATTTATAACCTAAAAGAAACATAGCTAATACTTTGAAAGAGGCCAATGTATTCCCTACTGACCCATTACCTTAGGCCCAGAGAATTCTTTTGCATATATCCTCCCAGCTTCCTAGCCTTAAAGAATTATATGATTGCTTATATGTTTGAACTTTACAAGCTGAAATCACAGGGTTTTTATTTTTCTTATGCCTTGGGTTTTTCTTAAGACTGATAAATGATTTATGTATTAGTAATAAACAAACATAGTTTAAGTTTTCTTGTTCAGTGAATGTTCTCTGAAAGAAGATGATGTATTTTGTTTGGCTTCTGTCTTTTTGAAAAGCACCTGCACGGCTTTGTTGCTCTTTTAGGATATGAACACAGTTTGCTCATACCCAGTGGTATCTCTCTGCAAACGAGATTGCTGATTCGGAGACTCCTTCCTCCGTGGGCTTATTGAGATTTTCCCACAGTTTCTCCACAGATTGCATCACCTAATATTTGTATCCAACCCCATGGCTACAATTCCTACATTCCTACCTAACAAAGACATTGTACCACAAAGCCGTCATTTAGCACAACTGTATCAAAAGAAGTTACTGACAGAAGACATCAAAATAGCTGAGCAAAGGGTATTTCACTGAATAGGAAGCCTGACTCTAATCCCTAGGAGCAGGTAGAGGAATCTTCAGGTACACAGAAAGAGCCCAACTCAGTGATGTCTTTAAAGGAATGCTAGGATGAGATTCGGGTGTTTTCTAAAAATGTCCAAGCCCTAACATATTGTTTCTCAGTTTCTTTAGAAATAAAAATCAAGTCAGTATGCAGAAACATAAGAGACAGATGTTTAGATGGGTGATTTTGTGGATGCAACACATTTGTCATTAGCAAATAATCATGTTATCTTTCAATTTTACCTCACAAAGAGCAATAGCTAAGGAATGTTTACCACAGAGTACCATGATGCCTTGTTTACTTGCTTAACCCTTTTTCTATAGCTGATTAAAACAATTGCCTTTAAAAAAGCAGTACAGACAAGCTATTTGAAATGTCTTAAAGGAATCTTCAAATTTGATTGTGTAAAATAAATCATGGGGCTGGAAAGGCTTGTAAGCTGGCTCAGCAGTTACATACACAGGCTGCTCTTCCAGAGAACTCAGGTTTGATTCCCAGCACCCACATGGTGGTTAAAAGCCCCCTGTAACTCCAGTTCCAGGGATGTGATACCCTCCCCTGTCATCCATGAGCACTGGGCATTTATGTGGTATACAAACATGTATGCAGGCAAAATATCTACACACATAAAAATAAATAAATAAATGATAAACTAAAATAATTTTTAAAAAGAAGTGATTTTGAAGGTTAGATAGATGAAAGTAGATACTGTTTTTAGTATTATAATTTTATCTAAAGTAACCCCCATTTGATAACCATTTGGCTATATAAATGTATGTATATTTACACCCAAATCATTCCTAAAAAAAGAGAAGTAACTTCATGTGTACCTGATGTGAAAAGCTATATTTCTGATGGTTCCTTATTCTTCCAAAATTGAACTTAAATTTTGATTCAAAGATTCCCTTCCTTGTGCCTAACTCATATTTTCTATGAAAATAATCCGATTTTTAAAAATAAGAGATTTTTTTTAAAATTATCTATTTATTCATCATTTATTACAATTTAACTTTGTATCCCGGCTGTGCCCCCCACCTTCATCTCCTTCCAATCCTACTCTCCCTCCCTCTTCTCCTCCTATGCCCCTCCCCCAGTCCACTGATAGGTCCCTCTGTCCCTACTATCTGACAAGCCTATCAAGTCTCATCAAAACTGACTGCATTGTCTTCCTCTGTGGCCTGGTAAGGCTGCAGCCCCCACCCCCTGGGGGGAGGAAGGTGATCAAAGAGCCAGCCACTGAGTTCATGTCAGAGAAGCCCCTGTTCCCCTTACTAGGGAACCTACTTGGAGACTGAGTCTATGGGCTACATCTGAGCAGGGGTTTTAGAGCCTCTCTATGCATGGTCCTTGGTTGGGGTATCAGTCTCTGCAGAGCCCCTAGGCTCAAGTGGTTTTTTGTTTGTTTGTTTTTATGGCTCTGTTGGTCTCCTTTTGGAGCTCCTGTGCCCTCCAGGTCTTTCTATCTTTCCTTCTTTCATAAAATTCCATGCCCTCTGCCCAAAGTTTTTTTTTTTTTTTAAATCCTCAAAATTTGATGACCCCTATTTTACAAAACAAAACAAAAACAGTGATATTGTCTCATGAACTGCTTTCCTTGTAATCTCAGAGGCAAGTCGGACTTGTACTCCTACCACAGTACCAAGCCTGCATTTCTCAAAATGTGCTCAGATGTGTTCCCCTGACCACAGAAGCCACCACTCATTCTGTGAAAAACAGTGCTCTGTCATAAAGTAAACCGAAGAACTACTGCAAATCCCTCTGCTGTAAAATAATGTGAATTCCTTTCACAATTAACTTAACCTTGCAGTTTTGGTTTTTAACTTGGTCACGAACCCCCCTCTGATGGCTTGGACATAATATGCCCACCACCCCCAGAGATGCACACATTAGAGGTTTGGCTTCCAGCAAGCAATATCATGAGGGCACTGGCCTCAGCAATGTTTTCATATACTGATGAGCTCATGGCTGAATGGGCTACTGACAAGTGAACGATCCTTGGAGAAAGCAGGTCACTGGGTGCATGTTTTGGAGTGTGTATTCTGTAGCCAGACTTATCTTCTGTCTTCAATGCTTTCTGGCTGCCATGAGCTAAGGGAGTCTTGGGAAGCTCCTTCACATAGGTTCCATTTCTATGACATTAAGTGGCTACAGCCCAAGAAAAAGAAGGAATGCTAGGAAAATGTTATAGCTGCTGATCAATGGTGAGGATCTTTTAATAACATTCATCTTTCCTCCATGTAAACCATCACTCTTCATGGTTCTAAACACTTGCTTAACTTCTTGTTGTGTTATGGATTGCTAAGACTATCCTCCAGAATATGGTTTTCTGTAGCTATTACACTGCTCTAGGAAAGAAACACCCAAGAGGACATAGTGGAGAGAGGCACTGGCTACTTCATCGTTCAAGTCCATGACCTAGAGTTTGTGCTGTTAGGCCCTTAGACTTATGAGAATCTACTATATTTCATGGCTACATATACATTTAATACCTATATTAAGTCTGTGTGTTTACATGTCACTTGTTTGCAGTTGTGTGTATAAGTGTACATGAGAACCTCTCTGTGTATGTGCATATGTATGTGTGGGGGCACTAGTTTGTTTACATGTATGTATGCATACATGTTTGTATATGGACATGGATATGCTTGTGTATGCATGCATCTGAGTGCTCACCTGTAAGTGCCTGTGCGCTTATATATATAAATAAATAAATATATATATATACATATATATATCTAAAATGTGTGTCACACATATATTAATAGTCACACATGTATTTACAATAATGTCATTCCTCTTGCTTACTAAATCATCTGCAAATGATGAAATCCTAATTTTCAAGAATGAAGTGCTGATGGAAGTAAGAAGTATTTCCCAGCCTCCCCAGAAATGCCCCTGGCAGCACATCACTGTGTGGATAAATTCTCATTAAACAAAGTCATAACATTTGAATTTCATAAACTCTCTAATAGGAATTTTTTTTTGCAATGCTTTAAGAATTAGTTTTTTTTTTTAAACCATCTTTTTAGAAATGCATTCTTTGGAAAGTTTGTACACGTATGCAATGTAGCTTCAACATATCCAATCCTCACATTCCCCAAGCCCTGAAACTCTTTCCAGAATCCCTCATCACATCTCCACACCAACAACTTAAACATACGGTTCCACGGTTTTCCCTGAGAATGAACTAGTTCTTACACAATTTTTATACTTAGATAAGGCCAAGGTATCTTTCTTTGCCTTAATCAAATGGAGACATGGTGGCAGCCCTGCTAACAGCAGTTACCGTCTTTTGGGGTACTGACTACATCTAGCTAACTTAAAATATGTACCATGTAATACCAAGAATTCCAAGAAAACTGTTACACTGATTGAAACTCATATTAATATATCTGTGACCAGAATATAACTGCCATAAATCTGGTGACAGATCAGTACCTTTGGGTAAATGTGTCTCCCACTTCACCCCTGGGTTTCTTCGAAACTTTTTAACTTCTTTGCAGAGGTGACTAGCTCATCTTTTCATTCGACAACACAATATAAAATGAAAATGCCATGTCATTTTATTTGTTCTCTGCCCAAACTTAAGATAATGCAAAGAGATCGAAACAGATTCTCAACACTATAACAACAATAAACGGCACAAAAAAAAAAGGGGGGGGGGGAGAAAAAGGTACGCTGTTTACGAAAGTAAACTTTGGAAGACTACTTGTGTGTAAATGCTAGTAATAAAAGAATTTGAAGATCTTCAGATCTTCAGATTGCTGGATGTAAGGCTTTATGATTCACTATACAATAGTAACCACATGTGTCATTTAACCACCTATAGGCAATATGCTTTATTTCTACAAGTGTTCAGAAATCACAAAATTCTTGGGTAAGTATAGAGAACAGGCAATAAATATTAATCTTTTAACAATGACAGGATTTGTGTCCAGCCATGATATGGAAAATATCCAAAGATTCTTGGCTACAAAATAAAAATAAGATTTAAACCTGTTCCCAATAAAATGGACTGATACTCAAATAGCTAAATATATGATTGGATAATTAATTTTCCAACACACACATTTTAAAGCAATGAATAATAAAAAAATATTGCCAGATTTTTCTTTTTCTGTGTGTTAAAGATCAGCTCAACATCACCTCTGCCTAACTGAGGTCCTTTAACAATCCCTAAAAGTCAATAACCTCTCATTAAGAATATACACTGAAAAATACGTCGGTCCAAGGTCATATGTTACCTTTCAGGTCTTTCTTTAGTTTTCTGAGATCTTTCTGGAAGTCTTCAAACTTCATCTGTGAGGCCTGAAACAGCTCCTGGGGTTCTGCCAGAGGGAAGACACACTGCTCCTTGCCAGCATCCTAATTAGGGGGTGCGATTTTAAAACAAATCAGTGATGAGAAATGAAAATCATGCAAGAGAAGAAATGGCAGTAACTCCAACAAAAGCAAAACAATAACAAAACCAGGAAAATCACTACAGAATCGCCTAACAGAGAAGAATAATGGGCTGTGAAGATGACTCATTGGGTGAGTGCTTGCTCTGCCATTATGTACAATGTGAGTTCAAATTGATGGCACTCCTACAAAACATCAGTCATGACTGTATGTGCCTGTAACCTCACCCTTATGGGGATGGAGGTAGAAATAAGATGATCTGAGGTCTCACTGACCAGCTAATGAACCTGGGCAAATGGCAGGCTTCTTGGAGGGTGAGAAACTGTCTCAATGGAATAAGATGGAGATAAACACCAGGAATGGTGGCGCACACCTTTGATCCCAGCACTTGGGAGGCAGAAACAGGTGGATCTCTGTGAGTCCAAGGCCAGCCTGATCTACAAAGCAAGTCCAGGCCTGTTACACAGAGAAGACTTGTCTTGTAAAAAACAAACACAAAAACAAACAAAGGATGGAGAGTGCAAAGGAAGATGCCACTACTTGTATGGTCTCTGCATCTGCAGCTTGTACACGCACCACAGATGCACATACACGCAGGGAGAAGGGAGTCAAATAGGATGGGAGGCAAAATTGATCTTACCTCATCAAAATTTCGAAGATAATATGAAACAATGTATGACAAAAGGCTTCTGCTGTTGTCCTAGGCAGAAAGATCAGAGTAAGTAACACATATTTAAAAATTATTGTGTATTATTAAGTATACACTACAAAGTAAACTGCAGGAAACAGACATATACACTTGGGAGGATTCTGAGTGTTTTATAGTCTACTCTGCCTCAGTCATTGCATCTAAAGGTCTGGATGACATTTTTTTCTCCCTTTTCTCCCGGTGTTCTTATGCACATAGGAAGAGGAGGCCTTACTGTTTAAGGGAAAAGCTCAAATGTAAATAATTTGCTGTTTTTATTCTCAGCCATTGGAAATTTAATTCAATAATTACATCTTGTATTTAATGTATTTATTTTGAGTTTACTCATTTATTTATTTGTTTGTTTGTTTATTACAATTTATTCACTTTGTATTCTGGCTATAGTCCCCTCCTTCATGTCCTCCCAGTCCCACCCACTCTTCCTATTCTCCCCTTATGCCCTTTACCTAGCCCACAGAGAGGGGAGGACCTCCTCTCCATCTATCTGAACTTAGCCTATCAGGTCTCATCAGGGCTGGCTGATATGACAGTATACACAAGTGACCCTAAAATTTCTACCAGAGAGCTCCTTCAGCTGATAAACACCTTCAGCAAAGTGGCTAGATACAAAATTATTCTGAATTTGCTTAGTAATTCTTTACTTCTAACTTTATGTATGTGTGTTACCTGCCTGTATGTATGTACACTACATGTGAGCCTGGTGCCCGTGCCCATGGGAACCAGAAGAGGGTACTAGAGACACAAGGACAGGAGTTAGGGATAGTTGTGACCCTCCATGTGGATGCTGTGAACAGAACTTGGATCCTCTGAAGAACACCAAGTGGTCTTAACCAATGGGTAATTTCTCCACCCACAGCATTTAGGCCTCAAATATCACCATAAAAAATGAATAAATATTGCTTGCAATTCCATATAAATGGTCTAGCAGGCACTGCCATAATGAATAGGTTTTGGTTTGATAGAATGTAGTTAGAATTTAGACCAAAGAAATAGAAAAATATTTCAGTTTAGTGGAGACTTTTAAAATGCCAGTGTATATTACAGTTAGCTCTATTAACAACTGGGGCTGAAGAATTAATAGTTATATAACTATTGTCAAAACAATGTATATGACATTTGAGAATGTAAAATTATTTTATATCCAATAGTCTTTTTGACACATTTAGAGGCATTACTTTTTAATTATATATATATATATATATATATATATATATATATATATATATATATATATATATATATATTTTTTTTTTTT